TGATGTGATTTACATGTGGATGACGAGGTGTCATCACTATCAAATAGAAAAGCTAACTTTATACATATAGATATTTTATTAGTTATAAATGTGGGTTGTATTTAGTAAATTAAAAATGAGTTCTTTTTTTTTAAAATGAGCCTATTTGTTAACAAGTCAATACTTATTAAAACTTTTATTTAACATAGAATTCAATTTGAGTTATTGATGATTGGACCGAAGATTGATTCTAAAGAATCAAATACATAAATATAGTCTATGTAAATCTGCCAAATGGAAACCAAACATCAAACAAAAGAGATCGAAACAACCATGGTTGACATTTGAGAGATCTATGAAGTCTATAAGACTGTAAAGACATGCACAAATTTTATTAGTATTTTTCTTTTTTCTCACATTTAAAGAGAATAATATTTACTGAAAAACTATGAATCTTGTATTTATTTTGCTGTCTCTCATAAGTGTTTTGCATGTTGGATCTAATGAAGCTAAGTGCCCTAAAAACACTATAGCTTTTCAAAACAATCTTTCTCTTAGTCATAGCACTCTAAAAGTCCATTGTAAATCGAGAGACGACGATTTAGGCTACCATTTCGTGAAATGTCAAGATGTTGCGTACAATTTTAGTTTTCATGATCATTTTATTCTAATGACGATATTCGTATGTGATTTGTGGAAAGGAGCTAATTTGGAGTATCATAAGTATTTTACAGCATATAAAGCAACTAAATATGGTAGGTGTGACTTGTTATATACATGGAACGCACAAGATGATGCTATTTATCTCTCAACAAAAAGTAAGCCGAAGACACTCATGTATAGCTGGGATAAGAATTAATGTTCATTCTATTATGTTTCCATCTTATGAACTAGCTATGTTGCCTCTTTGTGTTAAAGAGTATGTTTTATTCTGTTTATCTTTATAAATTATATATGAAATAATTTTGAAATATATGTATTTACAAATAAAAAAGACCTCATTTATGTTTTTTCTTTATTTTGGTAATTCTATATTCAAACATCCATATGCAACATAAAAAAAATTGTACAACAAACTTGAAACTTGTTAGATTAAATGAGATATTGTATAAAGTGAATTTTGAGACAATATCGAGAATTCATAGTTCAAGATTTCGTACTTAATTATAGAGAAACTCATTATTCAGGAACATTATAATCAATAATTCAGTCAAACAAACAACTAATATAAACAAAAACTTGTGCAAAGTAAGCCTAAATATCAATAGAAAAGAAAGTAAAAACATCATAGATTTCTAAGTTTTTGGCCATTACTACAAAAGATTCAATAATCAAAACTTTAAAAAGTTAACTCAACCCAAATTAAAGTTCTATAATAATTAGTACCCAGAATAAAATATTATGATCGAAACATAATAAAATGGATTGTTTATGAGT